AGTCTCTAGCTAACAGACTTCCGGGTACCAGAATTTCTCACCGGAGGAAATGAGACTTACACCAAAGGATATCAGTGGCTCCCCATCCCTTCCCTGCCCCCTGCCTTGGAATCAGAGAGTTCTGAGCAGTTCACGTAAAACCTCCACATCCTCAAAACTCATGACCCATAAGCCGCACCTACAATGTTCAACTGCTTTTCTAGTCCAAAGTTCCAGAATGCTCGCATTTCTCCAAAGACCAAGGAAGTTCAGGATCTTCACAGTCACAGCCCACTCAATCGCTGGCAACAACTTCCATATTACTTACGGTTGCTGTGACGAAAATCAACATGGGGACAAACAGGTTTATTTCATCTGACAGCTGTTAGAAACAAAGAGTAATCTCAGTTTTCACACAAAAGTGAAAATATCCACAAACAAGGCAGAATTAGCTCAAAAGGGCAGTTATTTCTGGGGGTTGGGAAAGGTATGACAAAACCCAAAATGGGTTAACAAATGGACTTGACCATGACAATGCCTATCTTTCATCTTTTGTGTAGGTAGTATCTACATCTAATTCTTCTTGTAGGAGCTCAACTTCACAATCAGATGTGTTTGGTTAATCAGTGGAAAGTAGGAGGGGGATGTTCAGGAAATGTGAATTAGGTAATTAGGCTAATTACCTTTGCCCAGGAGACCAGACGAGGATACCAGACCTCTTGAGGGAGGAGTTACATGTGGTTATGAACCACCCAGCTTAGGTGCTGGGAGCTGAATTCGGCCCCTCTGCAACAGCGGTACATGCTCTTAAACTCTGAGTCATCTCTCCAAGCCCAGTAGGCACTGGTTTTGTACATAATGCAAAGTAATGGGGACCTAAAGGTTTGCACTTCCAAATAAAGTTCTGTTAGGCCAGGAAATATGTAGCAAGGTGACTCTGGATAGAATGTGCATGACCCTTGAAGGTGAAGCTTAGCAGTCATAGAGACTTCAGAATGGTAGATGTGGTAGTTGGGATGTGATTGGCCCCTGTAAGGTCTTAAGGAGTTGTAGAATGTTCCTTTACACTGTGTGGATATATATTGCTATGATTGATTTAATGAAGAAACTAACTGACCAATAGTTGGACGGGATAAGGTTAAGAAGAAGAGTCAAACTGAGGATGCTGGGAAGGAGAAGAGAATCAGGAGTCATGAGTAGATGCAGAGAGAAGCAAGATGAACATGCTGTACTAAGAAAAGGTATCAAGCAAGGTATAGATAAAAAAATATGGGTTAATTTAAATGTAAGAGTTAACTAGTAACAAGCCTGAGCTATTGACCAAGCATTTATAATTAATATTAAATCTTTGTGTTGGTTATTTGGGAACTGGCAGGTAGGAAAGAAAAGTCCACCTACAGGGAATGGCACTATTAGGAGGTGTGGCCTAAGTGGAGGAAGTGTGTCACTGTGCGGGTAGGCTTTGAGGTCTCCTATGCTCAGACTATGCCCAGTGTCTCAGACTACTTCTTGTTGCCTATGGTATCAAGATGTAGGACTCTCAGCTTCTTCTCCAGCACTATGTCTGCCTGCATGCTGCCATGTCTCACTATGAAGATAATGAACTAAACTTCTGAAGTTGTAAAACCTCACCCCAATCAAATGCTTCCCTTTATAAAAGTTGCTGTGGTCATGGTGCCTCTTCACAGCAGTTGAAATCCTAAGATAGTAGATACCAGGAACTTTGGACATTTGCCAAGGAAACCAACAAGCAATAAATGGGACGACTTATTAGTCTCCCTGTGAACTTCAATTGATTGGGCTGTAGGAGTTGGGTTACCCAAATTCATAGGAGTTCACATCAGAACACTACATGGCTCAGACACTTGGCATGAGGGTTTAGTGATGCGGAATTCCCCTCTGTATGCTGTGAATATGTTTTACCACCATTGGTTAATAAAGAATCTGCTTTGGCCTATAGCAGGGCAGAATATAGCTAGATGGGAAAACTAAGCTGAATGCAAGGAGAAAAAAGGCAGAGTCAGGCAGATGCCATGTAGTCACCCAAGAAGCAAGATGTGAGGTAACAAACCACAAGTCTCGTGGTAAAATACAAAATAATAGAAATGGGTTAATTTAAGATGTAAGAGCTATCTAGGAATATGCCTGAGCTGTTGGTCAAAAAGTGTTGTAATTAATATAGTTTTGTGTGGTTATTCGTGTCTGGGAGGCCAGGAAACAAAAGTGCAGTTTCTCTCCGATTTCAGTTTGGTGTTTTTCCTAACAAGTTTTAGTCTTATTTTGGCCCAGTCTTTTCTTATTATGCCCATTCTTCCCTTTTGGGATGTTTACTGTATACCTTTGTATATTGGAATCATTTTTTAAGCTTTTTTTTCTCATTTTACAAAGACTTGAAAGTAAAAGGCTGCCTGAAGTCTCAGTGGAGACAACCCTCTTATAGAATTGACCCTTGCTCAGTAGAAGCCCTTTCCAGCACTGTGGTAATTAACCTCAATGGTTGACTTGACAAGCTTTTAGGCCAGTAGTTCTCAACCTTCCTAATCCTGCAACCCTTCAGTACAGTTCCTCATGCTGTGGCAGCCCCCAACCACAGGATTGTTTCTGTTGCTACTTCCTAACTGTAATGTTGCTACTGTCATGAGTCATATTGTAAATACCTGATATGCGACCTTGTGGGGGTCTCGACACACAGGTTGAGAACCACTGCCCCAGGCACACCTGCGGGACTATCTACATTATGTTTGCCCCTGGGCATGCCCATGAGGGGCTTTCCTTGTCAGGTTAATTGAAGGAAAGAACCTTCCCTTTCTGTGGACAGCACCTTCCAGTAGCACCCCAGATATCAGGAGATCCCCGGGGAAAACTCGTGATCTTTGCCTGCTTGCCTTAGCCTCTTGCCTGGAAATGCACCTGCTCTGGCTGCTGCCTCTACAGCTCTTTAGTACCACCAGGACTCAGTTTCTTCACCCTACCCACTTGAACTAATGACAAGCAGCTCTTGAATCCTTCAGCCGCAGATGAGGGCTACCGAGGCTTCCTTGTGGCTAAGCGCTAGCCTCTCAGTATAAAGATGGCCATTGTTTCTAAGGCCGGGCTGTGGAAGTCAATCTAGTAAATCCTCTTTTGAGACGCATTCATCCTATCAGTTTGGTCTAATAGAACTGTGAAACACTGAGCCAATCATTGAGTGCATGCGGGAGGTGCTTCCTGTGAGGAGCAGGCTGTTGGTTCCCGCCCTGCTCCCTTATTGGGTCCTCTGGATTCCTCGCACCACCCACATCTATTCCTGATCCAAAATGGCGCTGATGACAGTCAAAGTCCCTCTGCCCCGTTAGCTCTTTCTCTGACCTTTTCCACCTGAAGGTGAGTTTAACCATAACATAACTAAGCGTGTCTTCCCTTTTATAACCCTTCAGTAGTTCCCCAACCATCTGACTAAACCCAAAACTCGCAGCCTGGTTTGAGACCTTCCGCTTCACTCCCGGTCTCCACCCTTCAACACTTTCTTCCCCAACATGGGAACCCTGAGTGTTGCCTTCTTCAGCTACACAACTGTGGATGCTTTCCCTACAAACACAGTTGCTCTTCCCCCTGAGCCCCTCCCACTTCCAGCCCCACCACAGAAGGATTTCATTTTCAGTTCCTGTAGCTCAAGCGCTCAGTATCCACGTACTTCAACTGTGCTTCATTAAAACCACAAACTTCCCAGCGGCTGGGACTAATTCGGGAAGTGGGCAAAACTTCAGGTAGGACCTTGCTGAAAGAAATGGAAGGAAGGGGACTTTGAAGAAATGAATGGCCCCCAATCCCTTTCTTGCTTCTTCCCGCCTTCCCTCTCTTTCTTGCTCTCAAATTCTCTCTCCCACCTGCCCACCATGGGGTGAGGAGCCTACCCCACTACACTTACAGTGCCATGATGTGCACAGGGCTAAGCAACCATGTATGCTCTGAAGCTGCCAGTCCTTTAGGTTACTCTTGAAGGTATTTAGGTCGTGGTTACATAAAAGTAATATGACAGCCTTATAGAGACTGAATGATCATACTATATTTCCAAGTAAATGTGCAATAAACTAAAGTCGGGGCTGAGGGGGCTGGAGAGATGGATCAGCAATTAGGAACATTGGTTACTACTGCAGAGGGTCTGGCTCACAGCCATCTCTAATTCCGGTTCCAAAGGACCTGGCGCCCTCTTGTGGCTTCCACAGGTACTTCATGAATGAATGCACAGATACATAATGCAGACTCATACACATAAAAGAAAAATAAATGATCAAAAAACGTCAGGCCAAGGGTCACTGAGATTGCTCAGAGGGTAAAATGGCTTTGCATATAAATTTTTTATTGTTTTTATTAAGCTATATATTTTTTTCTCTGCTCCCCTCTTCCCTTCTACCCTCTCCCATGAACTTCACACTCCCAATTTACTCAGAGATCTTGTCTTTTTCTACTTCCCATGTAGATCCATGTATGTCTCCTTTAGGGTCCTCTTTGTTGCCCAGGTTCTCTGGGATTGTGAATTGTAGGCTGGTTTTCTTTCGTATATATGTTTTACCACCTGAGCTCAATCCCTGGGTCCCTCGGTGGGATGAGAGAACTAATTTCCAGATGCATGCCATGACACAGACAGACAGACACACATACACACTAATAATAATAACAACAGTAATTGTAATATTTTTTCAGTCAGGGTGATATGTAGCCAGTGCATGCCAGTATAGTCACACTAGCTGTTGCAACACTAAAACACTTCCTTCTGCTGTCCCTGACACTCCAATTCCTCCTGCTACCACTGATTCCTCTCCGGTAATGCCTGGATGCCCAGTTTCCCAACTGTGGTCATGTCTTGTACTGAAGTTCACATCAGGACCATGATCTAGCCAGATCCACTGGTGAAATTACCCATTCCAATTGATCCAGACCTATGTGGGATCATGGCTAAGTATTTGCATTACAATTATACAATTATATAACAATTATATTCATGCATTTTCTGTTGTTGTGACAAAATACCTGAGGCTGAGTCATGTGTAATAACCTTTATTTAATTGAAAATTTTAACGGCTGGAGGATCCAACCAGCATGGCACTGGCATCATATTGTGGACCCCTGGTTGCATCATAGCATGGTAGAGAAACAGAAAAACGAACCATTAGTGCACAGAAGAGAGAGATCCCATGGACCAAATACCTCCCACTGGGCCTTGTCTCTTAAAGGTTCTACCACCTAAATATTGACACACTAAGAACCACACCTCCTGCATGTGAGCTTTTAGGAGACGAGCCACAGCAATATTAACTTCTGCTTATAAATAAGGTTTAACTATGTTTTTTAAATTATGATTCTCATTGAAGGTGCAGCAAACATGGGTACAGGAAAGGAAAATGAGAGTCCACCACTGCCTGTGAGCATATCCATCAGGATCCGATCTTCATGTAAACCAAGAGATAAGCAGTTTCCCGCCTAGAAAGCAAACAACACATCAGCACGGAAAATGAAGCATCCGCAGTGAATCCAGGACACAACATGCATCAGTAAACTCCCAGCTCTTAGGTCAAGCATTCATCTAAGCCATGACTCGCCTAGCCATTCCCTGAGAGGGGTAAAATTGTGACCTGAGTGAGTGGTCATTAGTTGGCATCTAAATCATATGGTGAAAAACTGTGGGACCACAAAATAAATCTAACTCTGCTTTTGCAAATCCACTCAGCCACAGAGCCAGTTTCGGTTGTCCATATGCTGTTCACAGCCTCTTCTGCGCCACAAGGGCGGAGCCACGCAGCTGCCACAGGAGCTGTGGAGCCACAGCTGAGAACTTCCTCCCTCGCTCTCTACAGACAGTCTGCCAGTCCCTGGCCTAAAGCAGAAGGGCATCAGGAACATTCGAAAACAAAGATCTGGCATCGTATAGAGACTCTTGGAAGAAACAAAAGAAAGCTGGCAAGTGGGCTGAAGGAGGATTTCAACCCAATCGTATCAACCCCTTTATTTCTCAAGTGGTCCAGCCTGCCTCTGAGCTGAAGTCATCTCGGATCACCTTTTGTGTATGCCATTGTCTCCAGACCAGAAAAAAGGGCCGGCAAAGCTTTACAAAGACTCTTTGATCTATCTTCATCCTGCTTTATTTTTCTCTGCGGCGTCCCCGAGTAATGATTGGTTTTAAGAGCTATTTGTTGATTCTTACTAAATGCAAGCGACTGCCAGACATGAAGAGATAAAAAGAGTGACCTTTTCCCCTCAAAGAGTACACGTGAAAGAAAGTTATATAAGCAAGCATTAAGAGATGGTCTTTGTCATAGGGAGGTGTGCTTAAGATACAACTATAGTACATGAGAAGCCCACGGATTTGCCTGGGTCAATCCATAAAGGCTTTGCACCATGGGAAAAGGCCATGTAGCGAAACACAGGGGGACATTGCAGTTAGGTAGGAAATGGTAGACGCGGCATTTGGACTCCATTACAAACCCACAGGCCTTACTGAAATCTTACTATCAAGAAAATCCCAGTGTAGTGGGCAGGGTAGTCACAGATGAAGCTAGCTAGCTAGTCTCAGGGGAGTCATCAGAATGTAAGTAGCAGCTGAAGTCATGAGAGTTTTCCCACAGCCAAGAATTCAGAGTGAGTTCACCAAGCCAGCCCTGCTCTTACCAGCGGTATCTGTGATTGCCGTAGGTACACTGGACATCCTCCCAGGTCACCTGGGAATGCAAAAGGAAGAAGTCAGAACTTCTCAGCTCAGTATTCGGTGTTCCTAGCATACGTGGTACTGTGATTTGCCCTGCTTGACAAGTTCATTACTCTCTTTAAGCGTGGTTATGACTATCCAAGAGTTATAACTCTGGCCTTAGAGGAGTTCCCATGGTCTGAAGCACAGGGCACTGAGCCTAGAGGACCAGAACCTGGGCCCTGCGCTGAGTGTGTGTGTACACTTATAAACCAGGAGCAGTTTTCAAGAAAGAAAAAAAAAAGGACTTTGCACTCATAAACAACACCTCCATTCAGAACACAGGCTCCATAGTGAGGATCCAGATAGCCCCAGGCTCCGGATCTATTAGAAGTAGCTAATCTGAGGCAAGCAGCAATTTGGATGACGTTTCTCACCCTACAAACATGGGAGTCGTTGAAGCAGAACCATTTTCCATCCACAGGATTCCGGATGTAGGCACAGTAATGACCAAAGTCAGCCAACCCCACATGGGCGACCACCGCAAAGAGTTCATAGTGCACTTCAGACTGCAGGGAGACAAAGGCAGAAACGGTTCAGCTGCCATCCCTCCATCCTACCATCATGGACTCTCCTTCTCTGGAACCGTAAGCCCAAAGTAAACCCTTTCTTCTGTAAGTATCCCTCCCTGGTCATGGCGCTTTAGGAACCAATTCAATAGATATCAGGAAAGCAGCATCGCTATCACAGATCAAGTAGAAAATTGCCAAAAGTATCCATCAGAACTGACACTAAATCATGCCATTCCCTCAGAACCTTAGGAAATCAAAGTAAGAGCTAATTCTCTGTGGGAAAGGGAGAGTGGTGGAGAGAGATTGGCTGCCTGTGAGTCAGGTCACCACGCTAGTCAGAACGTGTTCCACATGTTCCACATGTGCACTGTGCTCAGTAGGCACGGAGTTCCGCAGCCAGGGTCCCTCGCAGTTCCGTGCGGTCCGAGCCACAGCTCCCCTCCAGGACCGAGAAGAGGGTGTGAGCCCGGAGCCCACCTCTCTCCACAAGTCACTAGTACCTCACACCCTTGGAGCACAGCCATTGGAGGCACCAGACAACCAAGCGAAAGCACCGCAGTGAGGCAGATGAGGGCCCTCCATGCTAATGGGATGAGAGGAGAGAGCAGACATGACACCTGCTGTGTAAAGATGGGCCGTATACTCCAATACCGTGGTTCTGGCCGTGAATCGGCTAACATACCAATGTACCAGAACAAACATTCCAACACTGGAACCACATGTGTCAGATCTAAAACTTGCAAATGTAGCATTTCCTACTTCAAACCTCCAAGGAAAAGACAGTCTTTTTTTTTTTTCTTTCTCAGAATCTTCGAAGAAGTTATTAACTTGAGACAACGGAATTAAGCTTTCCCCTAGTTAAATTTGGTCCAGCAACTGGCTACTTTGATATTATCCTCAAAGCAGGCTCTGGCTTTTCAATTCAAAAGTTTAGTTGGTTCTAAGAACCTGGAACTTTGTGTTTACTTATGTGCCTGAGAGTATTCCCCACGTCATTTCAAACAGAAAGTACTGAATTACAGGTCCCTTTCCTCACTGCTCTGAGGCATTTCCAGAACACCCAGTGTTTAGAAAAAGGCACCTTTCCGAATCTTTACAAGTCAAGGCAAGGGCTGGCGGTGGCACTGGGGTGATGACCCACCACTGCTTCTCGGCCCAGCAAAGGCTTGATAGTAAAGTCTATCACGGGGAGGGAAAGAACTGACCCCCACAAGTTGTCCCGACTCCACTCACGCCATACACATACTCTAACAGATAAATAAATGCAACTTCGTAATTTTTAAAAGAGAAGCAAAATAAAAAGAAGTCCCAAATGCATATGTGCTTTGTGAGTCATGCCAAACTGCAGTTGGTTCTCCACTGTGGTATATACCAAGTACGGCCAACAGGGGGCCTGGGTCCCTGGATGAGAGCCCGACCCAGGAAGTGTTTGGCCCACCTGTCACCTCACAGTCTGCTGACATGGACTAGAGCACTTATGAGTGACTGGTGCCCAGAAGCTAATGGGGAAGGACACAGAGCCTGCTGGACGGTCACCTCAGAAGGACACAGAGC